GTTGATTTTCAGTTTGAATCGCTCATAAAATCCGAAATCATCTTTTTTGTTATAGTTTATGTTCAGTTCCAACAAGATTAATTAATCTAGGAATTGGGTTCTTTTTTTCGTTTTTATTAACTAATTTATGATGCAAGTAATAAAAAAGATTATGTAACGATCAACAAAGATGTAGCGATAATGGCGTGCTAGCAGTGACTTGCTGGTGTTTTCGATTAATAGGATGTTGGCGTTGGTGGCGGCGGCGGCCACGGAAAAAATGACCATTTTTTAAAATTTTTTTCTTTTGAAATTTTTTTTATTTAATATTTTAATTAAGTTTTAAAAGATAATAAATTGTATATTATAGCAAAATTAATATTAATTGAATCTTGAATAAGTAATTGTAAAGGTGACAACTGAAAAAGCTTTATCTTTAAGCAAAGAAAAGATATACAAACGACCTTCTTCTGATTTCTCAGTCAATAGATTACATAGATCTGTAATTTGACCTAATTTGTCCTAACCAGCAAAACCCTAGTCCCCAATCCAGGCGGCGAGGGAAAAAAAAGGGAAGGAAAAAGGCCTTGGAGTTCTCAGAACGATGTCGTACGATGACGTGGAGATCGAAGACATGGAGTGGAACGAGGGATTGCAAGCTTTTACATACCCATGCCCTTGCGGCGACCTTTTCCAGATAACCAAAGAGGATTTGCGGATCGGTGAGGAAATTGCGCGGTGCCCTAGCTGTTCTTTGTATATTACAGTCATCTACAATCTCGAGGACTTTCAGGAGTCCAAGAGAAAAATTGAGCCCGAGAAGCAGCAGCCCGTAGCAGTAGCTTAAAAATTTTCAGGTTTCAATTTTGTCATAATTTTTATATGTCGGAGTGAGGAATTTAATCTTAAAAAATACGAGATTGTCATAGATTTTGTTTGGATGGGAGGGTCTGTAGGGGCTGAATTTTTGTACTATTTAGAGAGAGAATATCGATTGGGGAGTAAATGGTCTATCTAGGGTTTTTTCTTTAATAGCGTGGCATTAGATATTGCAAAATTGAAATTTTATTTCACTTAATATTTTATCTGCAATATTTCCGGGATCATATTTACAGTAGTGAGAAGATAAACAAATGCCTTTTTTTTTTTTTGCCCATTTTCAAATATGTGGTTAAATTCACAAGAGATTTGTGACTGAGCAGAATGATGTGTTCATTGCTGAAGTTTCTTATGTAATTCATGAAGTGATTGTTAAGAATTATTTTGGATGTTCTGAAAGATATTTAAGGGACTTGTTGAACTCGTGGGATATTTCTCCTGCATTGCATTCCGCACTGCAACATGCTGAACTTGTCATCCCCTGTTCGAATGTGATAGCAAAATCTCGGTTTTGAGTAATCATGGTTTCATGCTTGAAGTTTTTCTTTCTTTTAACTGACTCGTTTGCTGTGGAATGTGCATAAATTGCTAATGAATTGGAGAATAGTTTAATCTGCTGTACCTGAATAAGTCAAATAACATTAGTACATTAATTTGAGATGATAACTAGACATGTTATACAGCTATTTTTATGACTTTGCATATATCCATGTTGACAATCATTAGTGTCAAAAATGTGCTCCTATTGTTTTCGTCTATTAGCTTTGAACATTTCTAAGTTTGCATTTGCTTAGAAGAGAATTCTGTTAACCAAACAACTTTGATTGTACATGGCATTCCTTTGTAATTGTAGCTTTGAAGCTGTTTTATAAGCCCCTATTTCGTTTAGCTAAAAATCAGATTTTTATAGATTTTGATAAAAGTTGATGAAATGCGTGGTTGAAAAGTTGATAAAAGTTGAAGGTCTCGTGAAAGTTTTGGCTGACAATGAGTTTGAGGAAAAATGAGTTTTAGAAAATGGGGCCAAACATGGGCTAAGTTTTCAGGTGTTTTATGTACTTGCGTAAAAGTGAGTTTCTATGAAAATTTAGAAACCTGAAGGCAGTGTTTTGTTAGTATTTTCGTGAAATGTGATGGGATAGGAGGCTGAAGCCTGAAATTCATTTACCGAAGGCAGTATTTTTAGAACGTTGCATCTGTAACTTTGCTGAAAAAGTCCTTGAGAACACGGGAAGCAATGTAAAGTACAGATTTTCATGTCTAATTTTTTGGTTGATTAGGAATTATTTTACTTTATTGCTTCTGCCTCTACAGGAGCTCTTATTTTCAATGGATGCTCAATAAAATTTCAGTGGTAGTTTCATATTCAATTATTTGCCCATAGGTTTGCTAAAATTGTAGAGATACTTGAAAGTTGAAAAGTATTTATTCGCATCTCCGGAGTCTAAATGTATTCTGGATTAAGATCTACTGTTAGCATAAGTTGTCTATTATTGTATGATTTCTGTAACTTCTGCTGCTTGAGTCATAAAAAATCTGAATGTTGTATATCTGCATCATACTCCTAGAAGAATTACATCTAGTGTGTTTTGAAGATGTGTGAGTTACTTGTCTGCAATCAGTTTTTGCAAAATAAAATGTGTACATATGATGTAATATATTTAAAAATCATAGTTTCGCCCACCCGTCCAAGGCTAAGTCGTGGGATTTGATTGCGGACTTAAAACACCACCTATAGATGGTTTATAACCAATTTTCTAGATAAGACTTGCATATTTGGTCTTGTTGAGGTGGCTAGTATATATATATATTTTTTGATAATCGTGGATGTCCGGGCCAGCTTGCGCGCACCTCGACTAATTGCACGGGGCCCTGAAGTTTACAGCCGGGTACTCACTTCAATGGCCCTGAGGGGACTCGAACTGATGACCATTAGGGAGCAAACCCAAAGCCTGACCAATTGAGCAACCCCTCAGGGTTAGAGGTGGCTAGTATATTCGATCTTCAAATACCATCATTGATTCTTTCAGAAACGTTTGTGACCCATAAGCCTTCTAGCCTCCACACAGCATTGTTTTGTCTAAGAGGCTTTTGCCCATTGTAGAAAATTCTCCACTCTCGACTTTTGAAGAGTTTGGGCCGTTTCTCGGTTCCATTGTGGCTTATCCATCTTCTAGATATAGCTACTGATTATCTCCTTAATTAGTTATTGTCTCAACAACTACCTAATCAGACTCTAGTTCCTTCTGTAGCATGTTCATCTCTTTGCTCCTTTAGCTAGTTCATAGACTGTTTCAAATCTATTTTACCTGTTTATAAATCCATCCAGTTCTGTTGTTCACTTAATGGGCGCCCAACTTGAACAATTTTTTTATCAATTTCAGCACACGCAAGCTCACAGCCGATCCAAATTCTACTTGGGCAGGCCTAATTTTCTCTCTTTCAAGTTAAACTTTCTGTAATCATAGTGATTGGTTACTTTGGACTCCACAAATAACCATCTACTGCAGCATAGTCAGCTAAGGTAATATTCCTGGAATTATCTCATTTGAATACTGAAGTTTTAACACATTATCTTGAAAAGGTAGGAATGTGGCGTTTTCTTCATTGGTTATTTGGAGATGTATCATTCTCCACTACATGCTAGTAAGGTCCATATGCCATTTTATTTTTTATTTTTTTGTCTCTGATATCTTTTGTAGATGCATCTTTCTTCCTCGAATGGATGTAAAGATTACCAATAATTATTCAGTTTCCAATCAATCATGGACATCTGACCTGTTCAAAGAAATTGATTGGTGGTCCACTGTTGTCTTTGTTTCTTTTTTTTTAATAGTGACGGTGGCGACCCGTGGACATGAATTAAGTAATTGACTTAATTTTTGTGAACTTTAAAGAGGTTATTGCTTATAAGAGATTCGATCTAATTCTCACCGGAACAAGTTAGAAGAAGAGTTTTGTTGTAGAACTAGTGTAATGTTATTTATCATCTTGACGATGGAATATTGGTGATCTGTTCTCTCTCTCCCCCCTATCCCTCTCTTTCATAGAAATTGAACTGCTCAATCACATTATTCTAATAGACTGTCACATTACCGACGTTCCATCATCATAGTGATAAATAACATTATTCATCAAATTAACATGGTTTCTTGTAGTTGTTAAGAATTTAATTGTTTTAAATCAGAAAATCTAGTAGACAAAAAAATTGTTGTCAATGAATAATTTCGATTTAGTTTTTTTCTTTGTCGGCATCCCCTACATTTTACCAAGGGTCATTTACCTTTTTCGTGCTTTCTTTTATTTAAATAACATAGAAACGCCATGGGTAAAGTTGTTGGTAACAAAACAAAAGGGCTTTGAATAGATATATTACTTTGTGGAAAACACATACACAATGCACCAAATAATTGATAAGACGTCAATAAACACGTCACATGAAATGAATTATGCATAAAAATAACATCTGTCCCATTGATTGTTTGAAATAAAATTGGAAACAAATAAATTAAACACAGAGATTTATAGTATTAATATCATGCTTAATGTGAGAGTTATGCATACTTGTCAAGATAAGTTTTCGTTATGAATATTGCTATCAAGCACCATCGCTATTATAACACTAATTTAAGTGAAACTATGTAATAGACATAATTAAAGGTAAAATTGTGTTACTCGTATAATTGTGCATCTTGTCTAATGTCAATAGATAATATCATTAGTGCTGAATAGCATTATTTTCTCATATTAGAAGGAGAAGAGTACACATTTATTTTTTCACAACAATTCTTTTTAGGTGACATAAATGGAATACCTAATATGTTGTCTAAAAAATTTGTTGTGAAAAAAGAAATTTCAACCAAGCAACATATACATTAAGTTTGACATTCTTGTGAGAGTAATGTTATCCATATCCATTGAAGCTAAACACCAGTTTAGATGGCAACTGTATGATATAAAATGATAGATAAACTTAAATGCATTGTTGCATGATTCATTTGGTTGGACTTATTAAGTGTGATTACTTAAATTGGAATATCTAATATGTCCCTAAAAAAGGTTCGCGGCACTAACAATCTAGTATTTAAGCAGGTATTCACAATGGAGTGAACACAATCTTCATCTCTAAACCATAAACTTCAATGGGAACTTTTCTTGGCCATCTTGTACCTGGTTTGGCACTTGCCCTCCTTGGTCTATGGCATACTATAAACACCATTGGAGCTTATTACATAAAAGGCCCAACTAAGTTTATGTTAAGATTCTGGTATCCATTGAAGACTCCTCTTTGCAAACTAGAACACATCGAACTCGTTCTTGTCTTGTCATTTTCAGTATTTGCTATTTTAATGCAAATCATGGACTTCCCATACATGCAATTCTCCTTCAAGCTAGACAATTTTGAACATGCAACTATGTTTCTCCACCTAGTTATATTTGCAGGTTACATTCTATTCTCGGAGTTCAAAAGTTCGACTGATACCCCGGTCGGTGTGTCGGGAATTCTTGCAGCCTCAGTATTCGGACAAGAACTTTTCCTACTTCATTTTCATTCAACTGATCATGTTGGACTTGAAGGGCATTACCACTGGCTGCTGCAGCTTATAGTTTGCATTTCTCTTGTGGCAGCAATATTTGCAACTTGTTTCCCTACTAGCTTTCCTGTGGCACTTGTTCTTACAGTATCTGTCGTTTTCCAAGGTTGCTGGCTCATTAACATGGGATTTGTGCTATGGGTTCGTAAGTTCATCCCACATGGATGCTCTGTTCAGTTGAGTAATGCTAGCAACAGTATCATGCTAGGGGCCGTTTTATGTGAAACACACGAGGCGGATTTGAGAGCAAGAGCAATGGCTAACTTGCAGTTTAGTTGGATACTTGCAGCAATTTTGATGGTTGTGTCATGTATTTCTTTGGTTTTTGACAGACAGCAGATGCCACCGAGGATATCGCCTGAGTACGAGAAACTTAATAATACCCGATTGCATGATATTGGATTCATGCAAATCCAACTGTAAGTTGGCTAATTAATTATTAACTATGTAATTTGTATTGACAACTATCAACAATTCGAAATCCGTCTACTATTGTGTTGTGTCTTACTTGTATCTAGCCTTCGGTGTGTCTATTATTTGAGTTTTAACTTATGTTGATCGAGCAAATTTGGTAGTGTAAAAATGCACTTTTATTGGAGTTCATCACTCGCCCTACGTGACTACGTCCACGGGCATTGTCTGCTGTACTATATTCCTTATGTATTAAGATTATTCTGATATAAGAATCTTCATGCAAATCTGCCTCCGAGTATGAATTTTGATTCAATTATAGGAAGTAATGGACGATATTCAAGTGAATAGTGGATAATAGATTCAAGAAACTATACACCATTTAGCCTCTGCAGTTTCACTTGAACCCTGCCTAATACAGAACAATTCATAAAATATAAAAGGAAAAAAAAGCTTCAATTGGAGAAAGAATAAAGCCAACTGCTACTCCGACAAGAACCAATCCTGGAATGATGGCAGCAATCTCGAAAATCTCCTCCACTGCGCTGCAGGTGGAAGAAAGAGCTCCGTCACTTCTTCCACCACCCTGTGGTGGTTGACTGAATGACCTAACAATCTTAGCAAATGAATCTCAGTGCATACTGGAAGAGCTAAAGATACCACTTTGTTATTTGCTTTGATTCCACTAAATGAGCTTAATCCACTAACATAGTTTACTTTAATCCTTCTACGGGATAATGAGGTTGGGCTAACAATGGCTGCAGCCAGAAATGTTGCTGGAGAGATTGCAGTCGAGGCTGTTGCCATTGCCAAATTACTCACAGCCTGTGAAAAGAAAATTGCACGAATTAGACAAAGATGTAATGAAATAATTAAATACGTAATTGAAGAAACTCCTACTTTGAAGTACTAGTGTTTATTTGGATTTGAAGTAATAAGAGTTTACCTGTTTCTAATGATAGAATTGATCGAACTTTGTTAAAATAACATATAGAGGAAATTATAACTACACCTGCTTTTAGATTTCTATTTTCACAAATCCTATCACATATTTAAATTTTCAAAAATCAGGTTTTTTATATTTTATTAAATATTAATTATATATTTATCATCACAATTAAAAA